CACCCGCAGCACTAACTAGCTCTAGCTCTGGCCCTCCAGACAACGTGTGTGTGGGCCCAAAGTCGCAGCAGTAACCCCACACTTAGAACTTCATTTTGTGTTCTCTGTGGTCTCAAGCCAGCCGCACACGCTAGCACTAGTTGTGGGGCATTTCTCGCATCTGTACCGCTTTGCATCTGAAGCTCTACAACCAACCCATCATTTATACATTGCCCCCAATGAGTTTTCTTGCATGGTTAAAAAGCAGCATACACCTTGAAGAAACAATTTTTTAACAGCAGTTACTGAGAGCAATACAGAAGCTCTGTTCTGGTGAATGATCAAATCATACGTATGTTTTGTGATTGAGACATTAACGTGCAACTAAAAAAAATCACTACAGCCATGAAAAGCTCTGTAGTCCTGTTTCCCTTGCCAACGATAGTTTTTCCGACAGACAATAAACAAGGTCCAATTTCAACTCCGCTGTTGTGCCAGAGTACAACCACACTTATCCTGTCAAGCTCTCTGTTCAGCCATCAAAAAATATTTCAAGAAACAATTTAAGAATCTAAGCCATCATAGAGTACAATGAAGTTCTCTGCTGCTAAATTATTGTAGAGTGTAATGTCGCAACATAGCTCGATGCATGCAAGTACTAAATGCTGCCAGCATATACAAGATTGCGCCGATGGGCCAAATCGTTAGGCACTTGAAAACATTTGACAAGTAGTTTTCATACATCATCTTAACTTGAATGACAAGTTTCACCATCAATATTTGACTGCTGTGCACCTAGCCATATAAGCCTATGAAAACAAGGTAAATGCATATACAGAGAGAAAAACGCACAACGTGGCACCTTAAATTGCCTCAGCCAACACCTACTAAACATAAGAAGCCAAGTACAGCAAATCAGTATCCAGAGTAAAAAAAAAAAATTGCCCGCAGCTTCCCTCGGGGGAACACTGAGGAGGATGCGGAGCATATAATTGGTTAACGGGGTGTTAAAGTGCGACTTACTTGGGTCGATGGCTAAATTGGTTAACGTGGTTGTGAAATGGGGTGTTAAATTGCGACTTACTTGGGTCGATGGCTAAATTGGTTAACGTGGTTGTAGGAGGGGGTGTTAAATGAGTGAACACGTACACACGTATGCGAAAGGGCGGCGCTGGTCGAAGGGACGTCGATCATTGTGTTTGTGGATTCGTTGGAATTCATTTCACCGCGACCTTGGACGTCGACGCGCCGTACAAACCAACCGACGAGCGGCAACTGAGCGAGCGAGCGCCGACCTTGAGTATATATACAGCGCGACGGCGCATGCACTGTCAGCTGTTGAATGTTCTCGAAGCGCGACGCCACATGCGCGTCCACTGGAGAATCAGGAGAATTGTAGATGTCGAACGCGGTGTGTAGAGGAGGAAGGGTGCACAGATGGTGGAGGAGTGAAGCGCACGCGGTGTGTAGAGGAGGAAGGGATGCACAGATGGTGGAAGAGTGGGCGACGGCGCGACGGCGCATGCGCGCGCGTCAGCTGTCGAATGTTCGAGAAGCGGTGCGGACGACGCGGACGGCGCACTACAAGGCGCGAGTATAAGATGCTTCCGCATCTAAAAACGAAATTATGAGATATCACTCGATCCCCTGTGCACTCTTTGCAGCCCACAATTGTAAAGACCTCCACCAAGAAGATTTGGCATGCTAGCTGCAATGTGTAGACAGGATTATATGTGCACAACACTATTTTCTGTCCCTTAACTAGATTAGTCGGTGCTCCTAAACACTATTCAAGCAGGTATGGGTGAACCTTTACCACCATGCGTGTGTAGAGTAGGTGAACCTGTCCGTGTCTGTGTATAGCACACCAGCAGACAGTTCTTGCTCTGCAGGGACAGAACGACGACACATACACAAGAAGGACCCGAAGGACACTGTGTGTCATTCTGTGTTGTCGTTATGTTCTCGCGCTATAACTATCGTCATGTCATACCAACTAGCCCAAGCTGCCACACTTCTAAGTTTGTCTGCGAGCATGCGATGGCTGAAGACCACACCGAGAGGAGCTACAATGACGACGCAGTGGCGCAATGGTGCCTCCACAGCTGATAAGAGTTTGATGAAATGTTTCATAGAAATCATTCAGAGGCTAAGAAACCAAGAACCGAGTTCAAAATTTTGCTGCAATTGCGTTTCTAGCATAAAAGAAATGGTCAACCAATACCTACTGGCAGAACTGAATGCGAAAATCAAATAAGATTGCATGTCATTAGTGAGAGTACCATGGTCATGGATGGAAGCAACTTCAGCGAGACTGCCCCTCTCTGCATGTCTGCACTGAAGAGGATAAAACTCCAGAAGCTCTCTACAAGCTAAGGTTGGCTACTACTATCATTGCAGCCACAGTTTCGGGTCAGTGATGATTCAAGGTCTGGTTATTAATATATCGCAGAGGAATCAACATTTGGGTGAGTCGATACTGGCTGAACCTCTTGAAGGGGTAACGCGACAAAGGACACAAAACAGGAGTGAAGACAGGACCACGGTGTCCTCTGCTTCCTCCCTGCCTTGTATCCTTGTTTCTTGAGCTACCCTTAAAGAACTTTCTACACCGCATGATTTTCAAAACACCAATTAAGTTTTCTGTTAAGCACAAATAAATGAAAGATTATGCCGACTGACAGAGTGCTAGGCAGTAACCTTGAGAACCATACTGTAAGACTTCGCTGATTTTTTTACATTTCATGACAACAGCTGCAAGGCTGTGTCTGTGTGGTGGTAGTCATCAAAGTCAATGAGCTTCAAGGCTGCTGCTGCTGCTCTGCAATTGTGTTGACAGTGAAAAAAGCCCCAGAACAGTTTCATGTATGCCACTCCCACTCATCGCTACCTCCTTTATCCTTGCAAGATATGCAAAAGATTTGTACACCTGTATTTCTAAACAAGCCACCTCAGCTACGAGGTTTCCTTTTGTACACCTGCCGCTGATGTTTTTGTGAAGAACAGTATAAACGTTACACTGTTATGATACTGTATGTTCTCACGCATGGTTCACGACAATATTTTTCATTTCTGCCATACACTTTTTGTTCCGACAGTTTCTACACATGAGCTTTCTTCGTAGTCAGTAACTGCACTTGTGTACTTCCCATTTCATACACAACTTCGATACTTTTTGCTCTTCTGTTGTTTGAAAATCCATGCACCAAAGAAATGGATAAGCACATCACTTTCTTGGATAAAAAGATAGGCTTGATGTCTGGCCTAATGTTAGGCTTAATCTTAGGCCTAACTGATAACTTAGGCCTAGCTTCAAGCCCCTTCATCTTAGGTCTAACTGACAATTTAGGCCTAGCTTGAAGCTCTTTCATGGCGCTTTGAAGTGAAGAAATTTCTACACGCAATGCTTCCCAATCTCTCCCGCACTCAAGCACTTAAATTAAACATTTATGCTTGGGTGAAAGATTTCGGCGACTGATCAAAGTTTGAAAGCCTGTAAAGTACTCATACTGTTAGAAATTTGAATTTAATTTCTTTACGTATAGTGAAAATAAATGCACTTCACGAATGTTTCTCTTTGTTTCGCAAGATAAAACAATGCTGAATTTTTCATGTGTTGTCAAGCATGCAAGAAGAAATAAACAGACCTACCATTTAGGAACATCTCAGTAGTTTCTTCTTCAATAGTACACCTGATCATGCAACATAGATGTTGGTCGTCTTGGTTAAGAGCTTCTTGAGTACAAACAACTAATTCAAGGCACTGAAACAACAAAGCACACTCGCTACAACAGCACATTTACGACAGATACGTCAAAGCAAGAAGCCAGACCCACATGACACCAAAAACCTTGCCAGCATGAAAGGACAGCTTGAAGCCTAAAAAAACGACAATTGTGAAAATGAGTCTCAAATGGCAGCTCTGTTATGACAAACAACCTACTTTTTCTTTTTATAAGCTGTGAAAACTAGTGCTATTCTCGCAGCACGTGTTTTAAAGCAACACGAGGTACTAATTTCTCATTCCTTTTCTTTTTGCTTCAACTAGGCGTGCATTACTTTCTGTTGGTCTCGGTACGAATAATTTTGATTAACCAGGAGCTTCAAACTTCCTGACGCACAAACAGTGACAAGATCGAGCGAATCAGAACACAGTGACACACGTTTATGTATACTGCATGCGCGTTATGCTGCATTTCTCGAAAAAACCTGTGCACTAGAAGGAAATTCCAAAAGAAAAAAATAAAGAGGTGAGAAAACCGTGGCACTGATGAGTGAATGTCCCAACCACCCGTCTTCTTCTAACTTAAAGAGACAATTACTACCCCTGTCGAAATACAGTGAGAAGTGAACACTGCAACTAGGCCTAAACTTCAGAGCCCAGCATGCCCCCCTCCCCCCACAGCGCATCCTAGCGTTGCCTACACAACCATCTGGTCTCGGAGCTCGTCCCCGCGAATTTTACGCCTTGAGTGAGGCATTCTCATCCTCTCGTTTAGCACCAACACCACCCCGAAGATATAGTTCTTGTGCATGGAAGAATTTCATTTCCGAAACAAGCATGCAATACGGGAAATCAAAGGGCCTGAGGAAAGGCTGAACGTATGCACGTGTACACTGCTCACGTCTGCTATTGTTGTCGTCTGCAAATTCCTGCAATTCGCAGCTAGCATGAAACCTGTATTGAGCTACCCAGGGGGGCATAGGATTTGGTCGAAAGTCCAGAGCCATCACAGTAAAGCAGCAGACGACATGCTCAGCTGACATCATAATCTAAAGCACACAACACAAAGACAGGCAAGAGTCATCATCAGTCAGTTGACGACCAAAGGCCAGACGTAAGAGCTCTCCAGGTCGATGGCTCGAGGATGCCAGAAGAATCGCTGCGGAATGTGCAGGGGCTGGATCGTGTATTGGCACTCACAGAGGCTCCGAAAGTAGAAGCACGGCAGACGCAGGCATGTGTGTTAGAACAGCAGTATCGTCAACCTGCAGTGGTGACGGTGGGGTAGGGGCAGCGGCGGTGGTGGTGTCCTCGGGTCTTCTTGCCGGGTGGCTGTTGTGATCATGAGGTGGCAGCAGGGGCTGTGTCGATGGGGCAATCCACTTCGCCGGAATGTGTGTGGTTCTCCTCCTCGATGGCGTAGCTCAGCTTGTATTTCAGGCGTACGTGGTCCTGTAATGGGGAGATCAAGCAGCATCTGGCTATTTGCGCCGGCAAAATCTTCGTGATCATAAATGTCGTGCCTGCGACCCCTTTGGTGATAAAGGCTGTGCTCTATACACTTGTGACTATAAAAGCACTTAATCACAGTTTCTTGTGTTACACAACATATGTAAAATTGGCATACAAATTTGATCACCACGACTTTCTTCCATCATAACACAAAACTTGTCTAGGCAAGGGATAGCCTCAAAGGCCCCATGATCTACTACCACTGATGAAAATCTCTTGATTAATGGAACTGCTGCTTACACAGAACTGCCTCTGATATCATTGGTTTCGTACTTAGATTCTGCACCTTAGTTCATCTCTCACTGAACAGAAGTCCTGCTAAAGAGGGATTATTTTTCCTTGGTTCCTTCTGGTTCCATATCATGGGAGTCTGCTTGAGAACCAGGCTTTGATACAATTCAGATGCCAAGATATCTGGGTTTTACTGTAAGGCATATGGCACGAGGTAAACACCGCAAACCCCAACTTTGATATCAAAATCAATGAGAGGCTCAATACTCTCCAATCACAGGCATGCTACTTGCACCTTTATGACCACAACCCAATTCCCATTTTTGTCTGTCATATGGGTGCCTCTGTCACATAGACCCAAGCCCTTTCTTAAGACTAATAAACCATGCTTCAAGATATGCATAAAACAAATTTTGGATGGTATGCATCTTTTCCAGCATAGCCCAACTAGGAGGGGTGCTGACACAAAACTTTGCAGGCAAGATAGCCTGGGTGATCAATTCCCATGAGCATGAGTATATTACCTGTAAAATATACACAGCAAATATGGTATGCAAGCTATTTTATATGTAGTCTGAAGTTACATGCCTGACTGAGCACATTACGTTGCACTTCGCAGCAATGACACCGCCGAATATGACTCAACAGTGGGCCCCTACTTTTTTCATGTCACTATGCTGCAGCCGATACAAAAAGCTACAAAGACGTCGCAGTCGTCATTACTTTTTTGCCGCAAATGTGCCAGCAAACTACCTCTCGACGACTGCTTGCGAGTTTGTGGTTGCAGCGCACGCATTGAAAGTTCTTTGTTTGGTTATACTGCTTTCCCATTTCAGTTTGAAAGGTCTTCTTGATGTGGACCATGCGGAAGTGCGTCACAGTTCTGTGTGCTGACAAGGTTAAGCGTTCCACACGCTAGGTGGTAATAGCTGCATCCGGTGGCTTGTCATTTTTGGAGTTCTTTGAAATCGAAACTGACACTGGTCGGTTATGAGAAGTTTGTAATTATCTGTTGTGCGTCGCAGCAAATTATGTGCCGTGTCATGACTAACAGGCTCCCAGCAACGTATTGTAACAACAAAAAAAACACGAGGCCACATTTTTGTGTTCCATAGCTCTTTTAAAGATTGAAGGCCAGAGCTTTCACTGGTCAGAAACATGTTTGTTCCGCTCACTTTGGCAGGGTTGGCAATCAGCATGACCTGGGTGATGGCAGCAGCCGGCAGGATGGCGTTGTGAGGTGGAAGCTCAGTCGCTTACGGCGGTTGCAACTTGATCCGCATCGTCTGTTTGAGATGCACGAACGACAACACAAGCAGTGGGAGAGCGAACTAAGGGCAATCGTTTGGGCTAGTTGGCTTTTCGTGTAATTTGTACAATGAGAGAAGAAGAAAATGGGAGTGTGCAATTCATGTATTGGCGTTGTTTGAAGATCGCAGCGATGGTCCCTGCCTGCAGCGAGTGGTCTTTTCATCCACTATTATTTCATCACATTTACATTTTAATTACTTTTAATAACGTCCCCTATATGTTCCTTGGCATAATCGTCTGTTAGACCTCATTAATATTGTGTCTAACAAAAAAAACAAGCCATTATATTATACACTTCTTTTCTTCATACATAATGTGGTGACATTTTTGTGCAAAGTTTACGCTACATAATGGTTGCAACTATACATTTGGGCGATTGTTTTTTAAGTGTGCGGTGATCGTGCAATTAAACATGGTACGCAGGCAAGTACTCGGCAACTTGTTTGAGAATCTTGAAAGACTTGTGCAAAAGTATTTTCAATAGTGGCTAGAATTATGCCTAGCCACGTTTATTAAAATTTTATGGGCTTGTTTTAGGCTTGTGAAAATATTAGAATGCTTCAAATGTTTGAACGACTAGCAGAGTATTCAAATTTGCTTCGTTTCAAATTTTAATTACAGATAATTTCGAAGTATTCGCAATGAACGAATAGCTTTATATTAATTCGCATGTAACCACCCATAAATGTGGTTTCACTGCAGTGTAGGGATGCTAAGCCAAGAAAAAACTTATCCGGAAGAAATACGCTTTGCCGCGAAGCTCCACTTCAATCCTAATTTAAGGCCCCTGAAAGATTTTTTTTTTAGCTTGTTCAGAAAACGCTGCCGATCGGTAGTCCAGGCTACCGAGAACACGTGAGCCAGATATTATAGCGCAACACGCTACCTATATATAACAACAAATTGTCAAGGTGAGCTAAAAATTGCTCTCTTCTTTCGACAAACGGCGCTACAAGCTAAAATAAAAAATCACTTGTCACAGCCATTGTATCAGCCATTAGCCGATTTGAGCATGGCACACTCGGTCATTACTGGGGTTACCGCGGGAGGCTGCAACTTGTCCCCGCGTGTGCATGTGATCGCACTAAAAAACTGCCTATTCGAAGAAAAAAACTGAAATAGGGCTCAAGGTAACAAGGCTCGGGTGACATATTTTCTTTCCCTGAGCCCTCCCTTCCTGCTTAGCTTCCAGCGATTTCATTGGGATGAGAGAAGCGAGGATGCGATTACAACGTGCGACAAATTCTTGTAACTCTGCTCGTACTGGATGAATTTTAAAGGCTTTTGCAGCAATAAAATTGTGAGGCAATAGGCTCCTTTAGTGAGTTCATTCCATAGTTACTTGAAAAAAGTGTTGCAGGGCCCCCTTAAATGAACATACTATCCTCAAATCGATTCATCATTATTTAAGTTTAAAAGCTTGTTATGGCATACATGCTCTAGGCATAATAAATTTTTAAAAATGATATGTATTTTCTAATTACCACTTGCATTTTATTGAAAGCCGAATCCTGTTACAACTCAAAGTTGTTTCAACGTCTTCTGAAGGGGAAAAAGGAATTTGCATAGAGGCCTTATTTCAATTAAGAAAGATATTGTGCAGGTTAGTTAGGTCATGAATATGCTATTCCAATCAGATTAAAAACTATTGGACTAAAATTACTCTGTATTCATTCAAATTCACTTTGAACCTAAAATTCACTATTTGCGCCAGCCTAGTTTCTTTCATTAAAGCTGAATATATTCATCATCCTGCTCCAACAATACACGTATACTCGTCTATCAATACATCGGTATGCAAAAATTTACATGCATGATCATTTCTTCACAAGTGCAACCTTTCAAATTAGTTTAATGGACAGTGTCGTTTAAAATTCCTTTAAATACGACACCATGCAACTGTTTTCCTAAGGTATAAAAACAACAGCTGCCCCACAACGAAACGCTCACCTTGGGCACGGTAGCCTGAAAGGCGATTCGGCGCACGGGCAGATGCTCTGACTCATGACGGACACGATGAGCACCGACACGTGCTCCTGGGGCCGGTTTCGTGCAATGCGAATCACTGCGCGCACCCCATCTCCTGGTGCAGGTTCACGGGAGCCTGCGAGCCTGCATTCACCAGAACAGAGATAACAAGGTCTTGCATGAGATGCGGGGCAATCCAAATCGAAGTATCTCCCTAAGCAATGCGCGGTGTACGAGAGACACAAGAACCGTGTGTTTCAGGTTAACCTACAACACCAGGCACTTCCAGAATAGACACCAAGAAAAAAAGACTAAACTAGTATATTGGGTTCCTAGACAATTCAAATTTTCTGTATCTGTATGAGACAATTTCAGAGAATGTTTATTCCTAGCATAGTAAACACAGGCCAAGCTTCTACATCAGCGAAAATTTTCTGATTTCAATGCTTTCTGTTGGGGTCATCGTGGTGAACCATTGTGTGGACAACCTTTGGGAAGAACCAGAGGTTGCGTGTGTTTTATACATGGCAATAAACTATTTTGATCTATCGCAAGTGCGCTTTTCTGCACTGCACATTCACCCTTCTAGTGGCGGCATCTGCCACGCTTTCTAGCAGACACAAGGTCCTGGTTGCACATGCGGGGGTTTGTCTTTTCGGCGTGCTTATATCAAGAGAGCCATGTCTGCATTTTCCACGTCATAGCTCTAGTAAACTGCGCTTGAATACACTGCTTGCTGTAAGTCGCTAGCCACCATTAACTGCACAGGAGGGAAGCTGGCCTTTAATTTACTTCATGAATGGTAAGAGTGCAATGAAGACGAACACACAATGGAGGGCATGTGTGCCTTCATTGTGTGTTCGTCTTCATTGTGCTCTTACCGTTCATAACCAAGACAGACTAACATGCCCGAATTTCTGCCTTCGAAATTACGAAAAATGTCCACTGTGCTCTCTATTCATTAAACGTGGTGGCACAGCTCACCTGGCTGTATCTGCTCCAGGGGCACAAACAGGTTGTTCAGGAGATCATCCGTGGCCACCTTGGAAGGGGATCCCAGAGGATGCCCCTCCATGGGGGCCAGCATAGACGGTCCAAGCGGCAGCGTCTTTGGTCCAACACTCATGGGCTGGAACACTCCCGCTGAGGCCGGAATGTAGCTGGCTTGCAGCAGTCAGCAGGGGCCGTGACATCTGGTTCAGAGAAATCTTCTGTGGCGTGCTGCATGCAATTAAAAAAACTGTACGGTTCCTGTTCCAAAACTACAAACCAATTACCTGAAGCACGCACGTCATCACAAGCGACTGCACATTAACCATTTCTTTGTCAAGAATAAATCTCACTATGTTGGGGACAACCATCCTCCGTTAGGCAGCTAAGGTTGTAGAGCCAAAGCATGTGTGCGGTAGCCGGTGGCAAATTGTATTTTATGTCGTTCATTTCGCTTCACATATACACTGTAACTATACTTTCCTTGGTTAATTGGTCATTTGCTCTCATTAAAGTAGTGTCTAATGAGAAAAAACAAGCCCTCCAAATTGACCTTTCATTCACCACTACCTATGATAGTTTTCGACATCGTCAGTGCAATGGTGCACTTGACAACTCATATGAAATCATGTTGAAGACTACTTTTTAGAAAAAAAAACTGTTTTGTGCGAGACTACAAACAGTATTCCTGTGGTGTAAGCACGTCACCCAATCAACAAACCGTGAACTTTGTGGGATTTCCACGAGATTGCGCGAGTTTAAAACCACTTAGTTCCAATTATTAACAGCACTTGAAAATGACAGCTTTTTCGCATTTATCTAACCATAGCAGACTCTGAAACGTGGGTGTACACAGGAAAGATCATCTTTCCGTACAACATCACATGGCATGCAGTATTCAGTCACCCCTCTCTCACATATTTCAGTGCATGTGTGACCCAGCAAAGCCACATGCTAAATGTCATTCCTTGCACGATACATCTAGAAGGTTTTAAATTATTTTTTTCTACTCCCAGCTGAAATTCGGCATAATTTGCATGGTTTGTTCATAAACAACAGGAGAAAAATATCAAGTTCTTGTAAGGTTTTTATGCGTCACTTGAAAAAATATTTGCGCCTGCCTGTTTCCACAAAATAGGGATAGCAAAAAAAAAAGATGCGAAGAATGCTTGAGCTATGCCTTCAAAAGTAGAACATGACGACTTAATCAAGCCCCATCACCTTCTCGATTGCTAGCCTGGCTTTGTTTGGCCCTCAGTGCATGCTTCAACCATGCCGTAAGGAAACGAACAACTGTGCGCGTAATAGGGGCCGCTTGAACTGTCCTAGAATGCCTACTGAGAATAAAGCTGCTAAGTGCCCATCACACAATTGTCTGTTTTCTGAATCAGTAAAGAGCTCAAACTGTTTAAAGACCTTTACACCACAATTCTTGATTTTCCATATCAGCAAAGGGCTCGCCAAGCGTCTGTAAGGCAACAGGGGAACCTACACAGCTGCTCACGTGTGATGCTTTTACAGCTAATGATAATTAAATATCTGAGTGGTTCGTAAGGGGTAGGTCATTAAAACACCCGCTTGTAGCACAATTCACATCACTTGATGTCTGGTGTGATCGTACAATTTAGTAAGCAATATCACACAACGTAGCAACCAAAAAGGAGAATCCTCCCACTACATGATATTCACATAGTTTTTTAATGTGCAGGAATTTTCAGTGAACTTCAGACCCTTTGAGCTTCGAGCATATCTTTCTTTTTTGAAGTTTTTTTTCGGGGGGGGGGGGGGGGGGTTCAGCTTGTGCGTCGATTAGTCGACTGACCACGACCCACTTACTGACCAACCGAGCAACCCAGGCACTCACCTGGCTAGCTGCCTACATCTGGGTGCTCTCGAAATCCTCAAAATTAGTCTTAGAGGGTAAGAGGATTTGACGAAACTGTCTGGCTGATCATGACATGAATAACATGAAAATCCAGTCTCAAACGTCCTCAAACCTTTTCCTCCTGACACGTGTGGTACATACCTATGTACCACGAGCCGCGACAGGCAGGTATGCATCACAAGCAATTGACAGTTAATATCTTCCCAAGAACGATGCAAACAGACAATAATTTAAATGTGAGGGCAACAGAAAAAATTAGCATCAGCAGCGTTGACCCGATGCACGAAAAAAAAATAAACATTAGGGTCCCAGCAAGAATCAAACCCAAAAATTCAGTGTGGCAATCAAACATTCTACCGCAAAGCCATGCCAGGTCTTAAAACATCTTTGAAGAAAGACAATATGCAGGCTTAATGTTGGTGAAATGTCAATAGTGGCTGCAGTGCTGGCTGTCTAGTTTAACAAATATTACATACAGTATTTACTAGCGTAATGAATGCTTTCTTATAATGAACGTACCCCCAACTGCAGTCGTCGAAATTTAGATTTTTTTCCCCCAGGTAATAAACGCACCCCCTATATTCATCCACTGCAGTCCTGCTAACCAACACATGGTGCCACCTTACCCGTTGGATCCCTTCCGTTTTTTTATTATCATGTCACCTCAACCAGCTTCCTCTTCCCCTGCAGCCTTTGCCGTGCACCGTAGTGTTTTTCTTTTCATGTGTGTACGGCACATTCTCAATCTTTTTTTATTAACTATGCGCCACAGCGACGTTCACGAACGGTGCGAGTGTAGAGACATCGTAGCTGATAAGCACACAGCGAGCAAAGGTAAGAAAACTGCCCGCACAAAGCAATCGTCGCTTCATGCAAATATAAAATTTTAAGGCCCAGCCACGTGAACGATATTTTAGAGTGACGACAACAGGAATTGCTGTCACCGTGGCAGTCCCAAAGGGCCATTCGTCGCCACTGCTTCGCAGGTTTTTGAAAAACCAGAAAAAAATCAATTGTCGTCCAGAAAAAATAATGACTATTTCGGCAACATGGTAGCACCCCCGATTATCCCTTGGAATGCAATTTGCTGTTCGTGCTTGTTATCCGCACATACTTCTGGGAACCAATATATAGACTACCTTTTCTACAGTAACTTCTCATGTGGACTGCGAGGTGGCGGGCGTATTTTGCCGTTAATCTTGTTATCGTTGGTTTGTTTTGATGCTTCGGTGGTAGCTTGCTGCAATGTTGGTTTCTTGCTACAATTTCAACGGCGCCCTCCAGTCGTCATGCGAGGTTACCGCAAAGTTGGCAAAGTGCATCGTAGGGCACGCTTTTGGGCGCCTCTCAAGATCACAGCAGATACCATGTTGCGGTTAAACGATTGCGAGAAAAAATAGCCACGAAACGCTTTTATGGCGCGCGCAGGCGACGCAGGGACATTTTGCAGAAGCTAGCGCCATGAACCACCGAAGATGAGTGAAGTGCAAGACATAATCTGTTTCTAAACAGTGTACACGTATGTCAAATGCAAAAGGCTAAGCGACTCTACTTTTTTTTGCATCACCGCGTTTTTCGCACACCCCAAAAAAGTTTTCATAAAATTAGCCTTGCAGTACAAACGCACCCCCATCTTTGCTCTGATTTTAGCAAAAAAAATGCATTCATTACACAAAAAAATACGGTATCTACTCTTTTGATACAGGCATCACGTCGGCTTAATGTGAGCTGTATACTTAAGCGCCATCCACTGAAGTTGGTCAACGTAGGGGCTAGCGTTCTTCCAAGCACAAGCACTACATATTAGCTTACCACTTCTGGCGTTGGTAATACCCACGTTGCTGGTGGTATCGCTACGCAAAGGTAAACAAGTGCTTATGAAAAACATATGCGACTCTTCAATATATGTCTGTGTGCACAACATTTTTACATATATTTAGCTTCATTTCGTAACGTTTCACACAATAAAAAAATTAAACCATAGTCCCCACTTCTCCGCATGCTTTGCATAACCGCATTAAATCGATGCCTATAGTATGTGCGGTCTGCCCATTTTTTTTCCCGAAGCAGTTTTCAGCAATGGCAAAGCGTGGCTCTGTGGTAGAGTATCAGCTTGCCACGCAGAAGGCCCGGGTTGGAGTCTTCTACAAAGAAAATATTTATAATATTTATTTTACGTGTATCTCGCTTAAATTTTCGGTCATAGCACTGATTTTTCACTTACAACCAATGGCATCGACACCCGAACTTCTGCAAATTGAGCTTTTCAATGCTATTGCATTGATAAATAAAAGGCGAATAATAATGTGACCAACTCAGTAGGCGCGACAAAGGTTTCTGCTCACGTGGGGGAAGTCTCCCTGTGAGCCAGGGTTGTGGGGCAGGGCCTGCTTGATGAGCAACTGGCCCAGGACGTCCAGTTATTCTAGGCCACGTGACTTGCCCAGTAGAGACCCACCTGCAGTACGAGGCAAACATTGCATCCGCAAGTGTTGCGCGCTGAACAGAAAGCCGCCTCCTTGTCCTATCAAGCGATACACTCGAACCTCATTATAACAAAGCTGCATCTTTCATGAAAATAGGTTCTTCACATCCGAAAATTTGTTATAAGGGTACGTTCCTAACACTATATCTATTGCTAGACTATTTTTCACTGAATTTGTCATAACCAATATTGCGTTATATCCGGGATCGCTATATTAAGGTTTGAGTTTATGTGGCAAAACATCTCTCATCATCTTTCCACTACTGGAGCACGTGTAAAGGAGAGTCTATTTTTCGGGCGTCACCATTGATGGTGCACAAACTCCATAAATGATTTGCAAACGTTTGTTACTGCTTCTTTAGGCTCCAGCATTAGCAAATTTTTAGCTGATTTACATGACAAATTTAAATATGATGTTAATGTAATACTATATTTGGAAGCGAACAAGAGCGCAGAAACACTGTGCCACTTCGTTTCCGCAAACAAAAATTGGTGTGGTGCAACTAAAGTTGGTGCAGCTGCTGGCTTTTGCTGAAAAATTCCTTCTGAACGCCCACTTAGCTCTAATATGTCGCAGTGAAATTTATTTCCAATCATTGTGTATGTCTGATTAACAGCAAATGAGCCCTATAGAGCACTGTAGCCAACAAATGCAGCCTAAGCAATTCCATGTTGCCACTGATGGGAGCCGAACCAGTGAAAAAAAAAAGTGCGTGAATATTAGGCTTTCGGTCTCATTACCTGCCATTGCACCGTTGCTGTTGCCATTGCCGATGTTAATGTGGTTCCCCTGCTGGATGTAAGAAGGTGTCAGCCGCAACGGCGAAGATAGTAGGCCGCTCGCCGTACCGGGTGCCAGCATTGTGGGCTGCGCCACTGCCTGGTTTGAGGGTGAATACCCCGGAAGCCGGGAGGGGCAGCGGCATTGCCAAAGCCCCCGAACGTGCCTGCACCAGCGGCACCCCCCGCACTGGCATTGGTGCTGGCCTGAGGCAGACCCGGGGAGGAGAGAGAGCCCAGATCTACCATGCTGCTGGTCGCAATTGGCGGGCATGGATCTCCTATGCCTGCAATGCCAAGGAAAGACAACCCAGGTAATTTCAGTGTTCATCAACTCTCTATGAAGCGCCAATGGGGCCGTGACCGTCATGTGCAGCCTCTATTTGTGTATTTTATAAATAAATTAGACAGACTAACTATTCACAAATAGAATCTGAAGGCACCAGAAAAACATGTTTCATTCAACAGAAGCTTCGTTTAGCGAGAGATGAACAGAAGTGCAAAATCATGTTAGCAGCAGATACTCCACTAAGTCAGCGATTCTTTTTAAGACCTTTCCTGTTTAGTGAGACTGTAACTAAATTTACTGTAGTTGAATTAAGTTTTGGGGTCTCGCATACCAAAACCACGATACATTTATGAGGCACCCCAAAGTGCGGGAAGAGTACAAATTAATTTTGACCGCTCTGTTATCCTGAACGTGTGCCTAAGGTGAACATAAGGGCATTTTTGTATTTCACTCCTGAAATACGGATGCCATGTCCGGGAACAGAACCAATAACTTACTGCTTTGCAATGCCTTTAATCTACCACAGTGTGTCCAGCAACTATACTCACTGTTCAGAAAGTGAGGTTACGCGTTCTTCATAAGCAAGTTATGGCTTTGAAATGGCAAAGTAACAACTACACAATGAGGTAGTACAGTCGAATCTCGATAATTCGAACTCGAAGGGGCTCGGAAAATTGTTCGAATTAAAAGAAGTTCGAATAAATGAAAGCTAAATAAACAGAGGGCTCTCCATGCAGTGGCGCATGTGCATTGAGCATGTTCATTTCAGAAGACTTACATTTATTAACAAATCACAGGACATCCGTTATTAATTGACACGTTTGCCTTGCAGCGAGTAAATCAATTTTGCACGCAGCATGCAAAGCATTTCTACTTCAGCTTCAGAATTCTCCTGGCAAGATAAGTTGCACACGGAATTGTCCAGCGCCGACACTTTCTAAAGACGACGACAACAACAATGACTGCGTAGCAACCGCAGCATGGCCAGCACGTGACGATAAAAGAGGAGTGTCTCCACGCAGAGAGAAGCGGATCGGCATTTGAGAGAAAACCAACACACCCTGACAGCTTTTTTCTTCTTCTCTTTGAACCCGTCATGGAAAAGAGAAGGGTTACGTGGCAGAGACGGGAAAGAGGGAAGCGTGCCCCCCCCCCCCCCATGGCTCAGAGCCGTGCTCCCACTAGGGGCAAGGGCTGAAGAAATTAGTGCCTTTTTCCTTTCCTTCAACTATGCATTCATTCAACCCAGCGACAGCTTTCTGTTTGTTTGTTTTTCCTCTCTCTTAGCGGGTGGCATTGGTAGGAGGAGGGTCTTTACGTGGCAGAGACGGAAAAGGGAGAAGTGTGACACGGGCGCATCGCAGATCAGCGTTTTAGAAAGAGCGAACATTCCATCACAGCCTTTTCTTTCCTTTTCATTTCCTTCGTGCGCAGCAGGTGCCGCCGCAGGATAGGGCGGGGTGTTGAAAGCATTTCGGAGTGCGGCATGTTCGAATTATTCGTCGCAAGCGCTTGTGTGTTCGAATTATTGGGCATTTTCGCCCATTGGAATACACAAAGCTTTGATGGGACCGCATCGTGAGTTTGAATTAACCGGAAGTTCGAATTAAGCGTGTTCTAATTAATGAGATTGGAATATAGTAACATGCACTGAATATTTCAAAATCCACTTCACAAGTGAACCTCGACAGTACCATAGTAGCAACATTGCCCACTCAATTTTATGACAATTTTATGGTCAATCTTTACAGCTCAATTATATACCTGACAATGCAGCTGTAGCGCTGCTTTGACCACTGATAAAGAGTTAACAGCATAGAAAAAGACACTAATAGAAAACTATGGCTTCGGATGGTGACATTCATGCAAGTAATGAAACCTCACCGAGGGCAAGTAGCTGGTCATCGAGCAGGCTGAGATCGACGGGGACCTTCTTTGGTTCTTCGCGGACATCGGGGCCCGGGGAGTCCAAATCCAGCAAGGATCCAGCAGCAGCTGCAGCAACCGGGGCAGCCGACACGGCTGCATTTTGACAGTCCCATCCTAGAAACGCAGTCACCATTAAAAGTTTAAAAGACCAAGAGGTACCGGAAAGAGCTGAATATATACACTGCTCCTACAGGCAGCCTTGAATTAAGATTTCCAGCTGGCTCTACAAAGCACTGACAACATGTACTGCGTGGTTCAGCAAAATGCAGTCCTTAATTTCTGGGAAAATTAATGCTTTCTTCGACCTAGTGGCCTCTAAACTTTTCACACTAACTGTAAAAAAATTTCTACATAAGAGAGAATGGGGAGAGAAAGGTACATCCAAATAACGAGTTTCAATACAAAGATTTACCGAAATAACGGGTCTTCAATACAAAGATTTGGCCCCCCAAACATTTCACGGCAGCACACCAATACAGCAGGGACTTTCAAAGAGAGATTCTCTGATGCCTTTTTGAGAGGAAAGGCTTCAGATATGCGTCATGTGCTAAAATGAAAGCAGCCCCATCGTCAACCCCGTTGGTTTGACATGCGAGGGTAGGAGCAAGAAATCTCGCAGTACAGGGACTAGTATGAAATCCCAGCACAGTTAAATATCACTACAATGGCATTTCCCTTATAATAAAAACTTTTCTGTTCCTCATTGGCAGCTCGCACAAAACAATACAAAAAACAACTCTAATGGCAAATAATTTTTTTCGGAAGCTTCACCTTAGTTTATCTTGGCTTGCTACTCCAGATGTCGGGTGAAGGCATCTGTCCTTCGTTGTTCTAACACCGATGCACACACACAGAAACTCACCGTGGGTGTCGTTCAAGACAGTGGTCGAGCTCCCACCGTTGACAGCCGGCTCCAGCCCCGTGGTCTTCTTGTAGATGTTGATCACATTGGTCAGCTCATCATTGGCTGTCAAGATTTTGTCTGAGCGAGAGGAGCAGGAATTACATTGATGAGCAAACGCTAACTAATGCCACCACAAGCTTCACACTCTTTTCCCTCCCCTCCTCCACCCCGACAGAAGCCAGAATCCAAGTACAGTAGACTTGTTTTAAAAGAAACCTGAAGGGACCAAGAAAGTGTGTTTCCTTTGAGAGGAGTTTCGTTTAGTTAAAGATAAACAGGGGTATAATATTCAAGTACCAATACCAAACATATTAGTGGCAGTTATTTCATTTAGGCAGCAATTTAATTTAAGAGAGTTTCCATTTATTAGAAGTCTACTGTACGTACAATAGCCCAACCTTACTCTGTATTTATTTCTTAAAGATGCAGGCTTCAGTTGCCCTTCTCTGTGCACAGGCTTACTCTCGTCCTCTCCCATTCGTGGTGGGGAATTGAGAGCAATGCATAAATAAAAACTATGCTAGACAGGACAGTCTGTGCTTTGACATAGATGAGTCCTCTTGTTGAAGCACTGCCTCCAGCCACCTACCCTATTCAATGATATCTTATTCCATTAAGACTTCATTTGCCTCTGCATTTCTGTATTGTCTGAAATGCTTATTTTAATCCCGATCTAGTTCTGCGAATTTCTTAAGGAGTGGTGTCCACAGAACTTCCTTACGCAAGTTCTACTGGTGGTCAACAAAAAGCGGGAAATATAGAGGTTTGAGTGCACTGAAATCTGGCACATTCACCGTCGTCATCATCATCATCGGTTTGACTATACCCACTGCAGGGCGATGGCCTCTCCCGAGTTCCCCCATTCAACCCAGTCCTGTGCTTGCTGCTGCCAAGCTGTACTCGCAAAGCTCTTAACCTCACCTGCCCACCTAAATTTCCGTGTTGCCCTTGCGCGTTTGACTTCTCTTGGTATAGAGTCAGTTACTCTCAAAGAGCAGCGACTATCTTGCCTACCCACTGCATGCCTTGCCCTAACCATTTCTTGTTCTTGATTTCAGCTACGATATCCTTACCGTACTTCCGCGCGTGTAACCCGCACCAAAAACCCAAAAATTTCAGTGGCAAAGTGAAGGTGCGGATACTACGCGGGGTTTTTCCTATAGTGCTGTCAAGCCTCTTAACAGCAATGCGTGTTGTGCTGTGAAGCCCCTTAATAGTGTAGCGAAGGCTACGGAGGCGGTTTCCACATATTCGTGTTGCTCCGCAAGTAGCACGGCAGCTTGCGGCCAATTTTGGTTTCGCTTGCTTGCGTCGTCGAAGTGTTTAGAAAAAACATTTCGGGAGAGACAATTCGATTGTTCGGTGTAAAATCTCACTGTCACACCACAATTATATTTTTTGGACGTTCGCGGCCGCTTAGTGACCCTCCACATGTTCCTACGTCACGAACGCCATGTTTACTTTTGAAAAGGGCTTGCCGAGAAGGTGGTGCTGTCTATGAAATAGAAAGAAAAGGAAGGCATTTTTGCAAAGTGAATGATACCTGCATCTTACCTACGACTTCCCGCAACCGTTTGAGTTCCATAATAAATAAAGCAGTATTTATTTCACCAAGGCAAATGAGATATTATAGTGCCTATAGAGGTATTATCAGTGAATTTATGTACTACTTTTTGACGCGGTAGCAGGCATGCATTTCGGTTCTGTTGTTTCCAGGGTGCTGTTACAGTGTACTAGAGGAGGTAGTGCTGTCAAGTTGTCGCCGAGTGTGAGCGCTCTTTACTTCGCTGATACCGCTAGTTCTCCACATCTCGACCCGTTCGCCAAGCCTAAGTCGATCTGCTCTGTCACCATGAGTAGCGTACGGCGGCAGTCCTTCACGGCACAGCAAAAGCTTAAGATTATCGTCGTCGCCGAGGAATTCGGAAATCGCGACGCCGGAAGGCGGCACGATGTGGACGAGTTCTACGAGCCACTGCGGAGAAAGAAGTAAGAGAGCCTACAAGCCGCGCACCGTGACCGTAGGTCATTTCGTGGTCCCAAGACCGGTGCCTACCCTGAGCAAGAGGTGGAGCTAGTAAAGTTCATCGAATATGTGAGAAGCAGGGGTCACGCCGTATCGACCGAGATGGCCCAAGTGGAAGCGCGGCGACTTTCGAGAGAGCTACGCCTACCTCACGAGTTCCGTGCGAGCCGTGGATGGCTGCACCGCTTTATGAAGCAGCAAGGGCTCTCAATCAGATGGCGGACTACAATATGTCAGCGCTTGCTGGATTCTTATGAGGAGAAGCTGCCCAAGTACCAGAGATATGTAATTGGCCTGCGAAAGCAGCACGATTATATTTTCTCGCAAATCGGCAATGTGGATGAAATTTCTTTTTTTTTTAAATTTTGTTGAACACAACGATTGAGAACACGGGCAGCAGTTCAGTGAGCGTGCTGACCAGCGGGAACAAGAAACTGCGCATCACAGTCTTGCTTCGTGCCATCGCCGACGGCACGCAAATGCGACCCTACGTCATCTTGAAAAGGAAAACTCTACCAAAGATTCATTTGCCTACCGGTGTGGTGGTGCGCACACACGAGAATGCATGGATGAACAGTGGCTTGTTCGTGGACTGGATCAAGACGGTATGGGAGAAGAGGCCCGGTGCGATGATCGCAAAGAAACCCATGCTCGTTCTTGACTCGTTCCGCGGCCACACAACAGGGGAAGTGAAGGACTGCCTTTCACGCAACGGCACCGACTTAGTTGTTATACCCGGTGCAATGACGTCAATTTTGCAGCCTCTAGATGTGTCGCTTGACAAGCCCTTCAAAGCGCATGTCAAGCGCTATTACGCCTAGTGGATGGCCGAAGACTGCTACAACTTGACGCCGACAGGACGAGTCCGAAGGCCTGATATTGCCCTATTCTGCAAGTGGATTGTCGAGGCATGGAAGGCCATTCCAGGTGAGATGGTTGATTGATTGATTTGTGGGGTTGAACGTCCCAAAACCAACATATGATTATGAGAGACGCCGTAGTAGAGGGCTCCGGAAATTTTGACCACCTGGGGTTTTTTAACGTGCACACAAATCTGAGTACACGGGCCTACGACATTTCTGCCTCCATCGGAAATGAAGCCGCCGCAGCCGGGATTTGAACCCGCGACCTGCGAGTCAGCAGCCGAGTACCTTAGCCACTAGACCACCGCGGCGGGGCAGGTGAGATGGTGCGAAAAATTTTCAATAAATGCTGCATCACAAACAACATGGATGGAACCGAAGATGGCCATGTGCATAATAGTGAGGACTGCGGCTCAAGTGATAGCTCTAGCGAGAGCAGCGACTGAGTAAATTGTGACTGGCCTTGCAGACAGCGTATTTTGCTTGCTAAATAAAGCTTTTTCTGTCTACATATGTGCTATGTTGCTTGAGCAGTAGCTTTTGTACAGCCTTTCCTGTTTATAAAATTTGCGGGCAATACGCGAGGATTTTTTTCTCTTTCTCGGTGAGCTGAAAGTGGGGGTGCGGATTATATGCAGGGGCGGGTTATACGCGCAAAAATAGGGTATATAAGTCACACCGGTGTTTCAGTACTTTTTGCTTATCCGGCCAACGAGTGTCGCGTCGTGAGAAAGCATTGCGAAAATGCATGCTTGAGGCGGTTGCCGCTTTGGCAAGTTTCCAGCTGTTGGCAGACTTGTGCGAGTGCATCCCAACAAACATAAAAGCAATATTTCCAGTAAAAAATATTTTATTATTCCGATGAATCAAAACCATGGAAGTTGTCTTGCTTCGAGTCGCTCACAAACAGTGCAGTTAGTTTGGGTTGTAGCTCTGCTGGCCGGTCACTGTCGTCCTCCAACTCCCTTGAATCGGACTCAACATTGACCTAGCAGGTGATCAACCCGGCCTTGCGAAAGCCCGCTACAATTGTCTTGTCCGAAATGGAATGCCAGGCTTCACTCACCTATTTCGCCAGACTCATTGCATCCTATGCGACCCGTTTTAGTGAAGCTATGCTCTCTCTCCTACATCCATGGCTCCCACGAACGTCACAGAACGGCCTTGAAAGTGCGGTTGACAGATATGTCGAGCGGCTGAAGCAACTTAGTCATGTCGCTGGGAATGATTACAAGCACGCAATGCTTCGAACTAGTCTTTCTTTTTCCACGTCGGTGATATGAGCCAGCATACTGTTCATCACCCACATTCCTAGCTTTACGTGAATGAATGCGCCGGGTCGACGTGAAAAACTGCGGTCAAGCCACACACCCATTGTTTCCTCGTCCGTCCAACCCTTTGCGTTCGCCTGAACCACCACTGTAGGAGAAAAAATATCCTTCGGCAAGGTTTTCCGCTTAAATATCAGCATGGGAGGCAACTTGGTGCCGTCTGCGCAGCAGGCGAGCACGACGATGAAGCGAGACTTTTCGTGGCCAGTTATCTTCAACGTCAACGTTTTCTGGCCTTTCTCGGCGACACTTCTCCCGAGCGGGATGTCGAAGGTCAACATCACTTCATCCATGTTGACAATGTGGCTCGCGCTCGCGTTCTTCTTCGCAATTTTCTTCCTCACGAATTAGCTGAAGTGTTCCTGCTGCGCTTGAAAGTCGTCAGGTAGCTTCTGGCTCACTGAAGTCCGGTCTCGCATGACAAGCTGATTCCACCGCATAAAGCGGAAACACCACGACGGACCACCTCTTAACCCCTCAGTGTTAGTCTCCGCTGCCAGAGCCTTCGCCTTCAGGCGCAGCTTCACTGCAGACAGGCCTCTTTCTTCGGCTCACTGTTGTAGCACCCACGTTCGCAGGCTTTGCTCAAGGTCCGGCCAGCGTGCCTTCTTGCCCCGGTTGGCCTTCTTTGTAGACTTCGTTGTCCAGAGGACGCTGTGAGCCGTGTGACAGTGCCGGATTACTTTTTTGGCGACATCGACTTCTCTCCCTCCAGCACAATTTGAATGTTTTTCTGCAAATTCAACTGCACGCAGCTTGAACTTCGCATCGAAACTTCACCGACTTTGCTTTCCATGTGGCACCATGGTCAGCGAGGATGCTGCGACAACACCGCTACGCCTACGCTACGACGCACGATATCGGCAACCGCGACTGCTATGGCGGGCGGAAGTGAGGGCCAACGAAACGGCTCCAGTGGCTTTTGTCTGAAATGCAAACATTCCTTCAAAAATGTATAATTTTAAATACGTGGCCAGTTCGATAATTATTCACACGCTCAATATATATTTATTTTCTATGCAAAACTATACAAACGCAACTTTTTCACACGCTCAATAATTATTTATTTTCTATGCAAAACTATATAAGCGCTATTATTTCTAGAACAGTTAATTGACAGCTCTTTTTATTTTCTTATGAAATGTGGTTTCCATGCGCGACAAAAGGGGGCGCACGACGGACCGCCCAACGCAGAAACTGCGGCCGTAATATCAGGCCACCACATGTGCAGCATCTGATTCGACTTTGACTGTATATAAGTCGCACCGTTATATAAGTGGCACCGACAAAAAATTCAGAAAAAAAACCGCGACTTATACACCAAAAAATACAGTATTCATGTTCTATATTTTCAGGTTTGAGTGTATAAGCGCCCCTTATAAAGGGGTTCAGTTTCATTTATGTTCAACTTTGTTGATTTATCACTTGACTACCTACATTATCATGTGCCTAAACTTACCACTCAGCCTGCTGGCTGAGGGGAGCGGGAGGCAAAAGATGGTCAGCTAAAGGTCATGGCATCAGTGCTCATGTTCTTAACGCTTACACTTCAGCACGTGACCGTATCACCGGTGTTCACGTGCCTAACGCTTTCACTTCAGCGCGTGACCGTACCACCACCTTCAATCCGCTTGAGATCAAACTGAGCGAAGCACGAATGCATAGCGAGCAAGCCGAACGAAATGGCTGCTTTCATTGTCAGAGTACTTGCGAGTCCCAGCAGTCTTATGCCTGTTACCATATCTTCAAAATAAATCACTGTTTTGTGTACCACTGCCAAATCAGTACTACTGTTAATGTTGCCTTTCAGCATAGTTTTCGGTTGCATCCCCAGACGGCATCACCATTCGAAAAGTAGGCTTCCGATTCGCTTGACTTAACCAGAAAGACGTTCGACTAAATTATGACAGGTGTGTAGCAGCTCTGCTGAAACTCAGTGGAAAGGGAGCCAACCCTAGAACCTCCCAGTTAAAATCATTTATTAAGGCATGCTTTCGAAATGTTTTGTATGTATCCTAGCCTTTGCATGTCAACCACCTAGTTTTGCTGATGTTCTTTTTTTTTTGCTGCATACAAGTGAAGTCTGCTGTCAATACTTTCCCCTTATCTTACCATTCTGTCTTGTGGTTCCCCAGGCAGCCATTAAGGAGACTCGCTAGAAAAATCATTCCACTTTTGTTGGCTGTCTCTAGTATCCAGCTGATGAAAGTTGAAAGAGTCGGAAACTTCTTGTAGCCTTTTAAAAACGATAGTCTTTCATGGGATATTTGAACGCAGAAGCTTTGGTCTGTCTGCCTGTCTGTCTGTCTATGTATGTCTTTCTGCGACACGATTCAGCCATCTGGCCAAAGTTTAAGAACTTGCTGAACGCTCAGTCATTTCGAACTGGTGGCTGCATTCATACTTGTGAACATTGTTGATCAAACAGTAAATATTACGCATATCTGAGGTGCAGCATCAGTACGTTAGTATTAGGTAGTGTGTTTGTTTACTAATATATACATAGATACGCAATTATAAAGACCTTAGTGTTTCTTATGCTGCGCTCAAAATGCGAGGCTATGCTCGAAAAAGCCCCCTGCCAACGATATGGTACTGCCACCTGGCGAGACAGAAATGGTACGAGAACAGCATCATTGGCGGCCGCGGATGAGACCAGGACTCATGTAGTACGACCGGCAGAAGATTATCGTGCAACGACGACATTTGCAGCAAGGCATGCAGATACGCGGGCAATTTTTGTTCTTGACATGTTTTTCATGAATGCTAGGTGCATTGTACACAATTGCTTTGTCATCTTTTGTTTCCCTCTTTTTAGTTTAGTAAATAGTATGTGACTTGCCTGTTGTTTATTTAATCTCCCTGCCCACCACGCTCTTGCTAAGATACAAATACCATATTTACTCAGGTAATGAACGCGCTCGCATAATAAATGCATCCCCAACTTCAGTCGTCAAAATTGTTTTTCTTTTCCCCACGTATTAAACACACCCCCTAGATTCATCCGCTGCAGTCTCGCTAACCGACACCTGGCGTGTCCTTGCCTGTTGGACCTCTTCCGTTTTTTATTATTATGCCGACCCCCCTTGGCTACCTCGGCTCGCTCGCTCCTTCCCTTTGCCTGCTGCCGCGCGCCGTATAATATTTATTTTTGTCTGTGCGTGGCACGTACCCTGTCTTTTTTAAATGTTTGTGCGCCACAGCGGGGGTTCATGAATGATGCGAGTGTAGAAACAGTAAAGCTTACGAGCACATAGCGAGCGAAGGTCACGAAACTTGTCGCGCTAATTAATGGCCGCTTCCTGCAAATATGAAACCTCAAGGCCCAACCACTTACACGCAGTTTTCGAGCAATGACGACAAGATTTGTTGGCGCTATGGCTGTCACAAAGGGCAATTCATCATCGTTGTGTCACAGGTTTCTGGAAAACCAGAAAGAAAATGCTTGTCACCCTGAAAAGATCATGACCATTTCTGCAATATGGTCCCCGATTCCCGCTTCGTCTGCAAGCGAGGCGGCCGCTGTATTTTGTCGTTAATCTTGTTATCGATGGTTTATTTTCATGCTGCGGTGGTAGCTTTGGTTGCTTGCTACAATGTCAATGGCATCGTCACGGTCGTCGTGCGAGGTTGTCTCGAAGTTGGCAAACAGTGTTGTGGTGTAGTAGCGCATGCTTCTAGGCACTCTTAGAGAATCCAGTAGATACCATTGTTGCGGATAAACAATTGCGAGAAAAGATAGCCGTGAAACGCTTTTTTTGGCGTGCACGGGCGGCGTGGAAACAGCTTGGAGAAGATAGTGCCTTCAACAACCCAAGATGAGTGGAGTGCAACAAAGAAGCTGAGTGACCTAACTTTCTTTCCCTCAGTGTGGTAACGGCTCTGCACAATCTTAAACAACAAAAAACCCTGTCCTCGTCTCGCTTTACTCCACTTTATGCACACTCTACACACTCAAACAACATGTTGTAGTGTGCTGGGTGCCAGGGCACCGTGAGATCCAAGGCAACGTGATGGCGGATCAGCTTGCTGCATCCGTCCACGAAAGCACTGCCACTACTCTCATATCATTCCCAGCCCTTGATCTTAAGCCATTTCTCAAATGAAAGCTCAAGGACTATTGGCAGAGCAAGTGGGATAGACACACACAAAACAAACTACACGCTATTAAGCCACATCTTGACCATTGGCCGCCAGTATCAAAATCACGTCACACAGAGGTAACACTAACGAGGCTCAAGATAGGACACACATACACGACACACTCACATCTTTTGTCTGGTGGCGATCCACCATTGTGTGACAGATGTGGTGAAGCACTAACAGTTCTTCACATTTTAATCCAGTGCAAACAATTAGACACTCAAAGAAAACAACACTTTTCATTACCCTACCGACAACATGTACCTTTACACCCTGCAATGTTTGTCGGTAGGGAACCACTGTTCACTCATGAAACGGTCCTAGCTTTTTTAAGAGATGTTCACTTTTATCATGTCATATACCCAGGCAATTTGTAGCGCGACCTCTTAATAGAGGTTGCTGCTGCAGTGACTACACTTAAAACCACTTGCCTCGCAGCCCTTGGACACAAGGGCGCTGATGAGGCACTTGTGCTAGTGCAAAATATTTTTACACATTTTTATTATCAAAACCTTTGGCGCCCTTTTTCACTATGCACATCACGCCACTGTCATGACTTTAATACTTATGTTTTTACCCGCATTATCGCGAGGAATTTTAAGGCCCCTATACAGCCACGCAACATATCATTGTCCACATCTCTACTCATTGAAATGGCGCTCTTTGGCCATCAATTGGCACTTGCGCCATAAAGTGCCACACATCATCATCTTCGCATTATCGACGATGCTGTCACGTTACCACCCCGTACAACTGTTGTGGTTCAGGTGGCGTGGGACGGAGTGATGCACGGTGAAGCAGTCGTAGAAAGCAATCAATCGCTTTTTCTTTCTCAGGGTGTCTGCGTAGCGAGAAGCCTTGTTGACCTTCGTGATGATCACTGCAACGTTTTTGTCACAAACTTCAGCTACGAGCATTGGCACCTTTTTCCTGGAACTGTCATCGCCTACGCCGACCCAGTCGCCAATGTCAACGAGTGTTTTGCTTCCGAGACCATCGGCACTGCTGAAGCGCCTTTCCGCAGCGTGGAGATCAATCCAACGCTTTCTGAAGCAAACAAGCAGCGTTTGAGCGAGCTTTTGTTGGAATTCCACGCATGCTTTGCACGTTCTTTGAAAATACGTCAAACACCGATTACGAAACACCGTAT